TTGGGGTTCGCTTGACTGTCGTAACCAATGGTTGGAGACTCTTGGTGACATGGCTCATAATCGATCGCAATGGCGTCGGTGTATACACTGTCTGTCTTCCCTTAAACTAAGAGATTAAAATCGCTTCATATCTTCCATTCTACGAACTAATTCTTTCTTCGTGTACTATTTCCTTATTTCAATCTTTCTTTTATATATTACCGTCACTGAATGAACTACTTTTATGAATTCGGTGTCCATCTTGTTGTGTTAATGAGGTATGACAACTTGAACCGATGCATATATGTGCCTGGTCCTACGTTGTAGCCGACTGACTGACTGCTCGACTTAAATTCATCAGCACTGTTAACGATATGAATAAAAAAAGTCTTGAATTTCTGTACCCGGATTTGTTAGTTGTTGAACAAGATGATCATAAAAGAGTCACTTAGAATACAAGGTATTCGTTTCAGCTTTGATTTTGATTGATATGAAAGTTTTATTATTCAAGTTTGAGTCCAACCTGGTCATCCTCATTATGAAGCCCATTGTAAATTTATAAAACTGTTAAAAAACATTACCTTTGATTTTAGTATAACAACGGAATGTTAAGAGAGTTTTGAATACCTTTACAAAGTAAAATTGTGGTGATACGTGCAACTGACTCTAGACATCCAAAGTTTAAATATGAATATGGAGCTACTGATTTTATACCTAAAGGGGCTTATTCACGAATATAACTTTGGAAGTTTGAACCGTGCACGCACAAGTCTTAACAGATTATGAAGCATTCTCTGTTAGTAATAAGTAAAAGTCAGTACTTATCGCATCTTTGAAGCCTTAATTCAGGGTACTGTTAGATTATAGGTTTATTTACTTTATTTGAAGACAACGATTTGCCACCTTAACATCATACTAAATAAAACAGCCAGCAAACTAAATTGCGATTGGAACACTATAAGGTCTTTGAACGTTGGGAGAATTCATTCTTAAACATTTTAATCTGGTGAATATACCCCACAATCATCTCTGATTGGAGATATCATTGTATGAAGTATATCCTCATGCTTCACTGAAGAATTGCAAGTAGATTTATCTTTTTTCTGTTATATGAATCTTTTTGATCCTTCCCGGCAGTCTTGATTGATTTGTCATAGTTCAATAGTTTTAGTTTTATTTAGTTCCATTTCCTGGGAAAGCAATTTTTTTTGGAAATAGCCAACACTTTTACAAACTGCTTGCATCCATGGTTTGTTGACATTCTCTAAGTGTTAGCTGTACAATGTTACAATATATTCTATCTTACATTTCATTTTGTTCAGATATTTTGTTACACTTTTCCTTTGTGACACTCGTAAACGTGGTAGGTAAAATAGGAAAAGTGGAAAACAGGAAGTTATTCTTTAACACGTTAGTTTGTGTATCTTCGGTGGATATTTGTTAGTCAGATGTTTTATATCTTTCTTATGTAGTATTAATTTTCAGTTCTTTTCATTGTTAATTATTATGATATCGCTTGCCGGTTAAAAATAACTGTGAACCATAAACAGGCTGTTTATTTTTTTGATAGCATAATGCCTTACTTGTATACCTACTTCGAATGATACGTTATGATCTTAGCATACTTCTGTAGCCACGTCATGGAAACGTTTGTAGGTGACGTTTAAGCCATTTGACAGTGGGTAGTTCACCATAATATCACCAACTAACTTATCGTCACTATATCTGAACACATACCCGGACCTTGCAAACACTTGCACTCTATTATTACCGAATTCTGAGGCAAGGATAACCGAACACAAAAAGTCGCCAAACATCCTCAATCTGGTAAAGCATTTAACAGTAATCTGTTAGAGATTCATATAAAAGACCTTTTACAAGCATTTTAACGTAGCAAAGGTTCCAAAGATAGTCCAGATTAACATAAAGATCTCTGCATTTCTTTTTTACATAGAATGATTTCAAGTTGATCAGTTTATTATGTTTTGTTTTTAATAGTATACACCGGTGTTTTTGGTGTAATCATACTTCGATTTTTTGTATAATTTTTCACTGCATTCATTTAGTTTATGGTTTATGGGATGCTGCAGTGTTTGGATCACTTACTGGTTATTTATACATTTCTTCCATTACGTTGTTTTCTCACTGTATTAAATTTAATGCTAAGAATATCCAGTGGAATATTTCAATTTTTCACATATTTTAATCAATACCAGTAAGTTTCTTCTATTTGGACCTGAAATACATTTATATTAAAGGTGATTTTTTTATACATCGATAATAGATGTACATTCGTTGAAGTATTTAGTTTTATCACGAGTTTCAAGTTCATGGTTTTTTAAAAATATATTTTTACACTACATCATCGGAGGTACGATATAAAAGTTTCATGTCGTCTTTTGTATGTATGGATTAATGTTCTAGAAACCACTAGTAATCAACGTAAATCGTAGCTCTAGTGTATATCAGTTCAAATTTCACACCTCACACCAGCTGAGAGAGAGAAAATTAATGGAATGTTCTGGCAAAAAACAAGTTTGCGTTTGTTTTGCCCGATCAACAGAACCGTGTAGCTATCCTATTTCACTGTTTAGAACAATAAAACTTCATTTCTCGATTTCTCATAGTTAATAACTTTCAGTCGTGTATGTATGAATTTAAACCGATATTAGCTTTAATAGTGTGAGTCCGTATAATCTGTATGGTATTAATATTGTAATATAAACTTCCAGTTTATCAAGCCACTGTTAATCAGAACCAATATGTATGTTATCCCTATTGATTTTTGTTATTCAAAAGTAGTGAAATATTGGCGAATGTGACGTATTTTGTGAATTTAAAGAGTTGTGTTAGTGTACATAGAAACTTTAAAAAAAGATACGTAAGGACTTAAAGAAAATCTTCAGAACTCTTAGTGAAATTTCATTATCAGCGTACTTATTGCGAATCTATCTAAGCTTTAAATATTCGACAGAGAAAAAAGGTAATTAAGTGAAGAAAGTTTTCTTTTTTGATGATACCATTTAATAAAGCTGTATGATTGCCTTTCTAGTAACTTGATAAATATCTGGGTCTATAGAAGGATTAAAAGCGATTACATCATAATGTTTAGAGAAAAATGATATCCTTGGAAAGATGATTCTTTTTACTAATTTATCTTTATTTTTTATTGAATAACAATTGATTTCTTTAAATATTCGTCAAATTTTAGTCGACATAAATAGTTGTGTTCATACGGTAATAAGTTATATAAAACAAATTCTAAAAGGGTGTTTATAAGTTTTAAGACTCCTCATGTTCGGATTGATGATGAACATGATACAATAAACAAATATACTTTTCTAAAAACTGAAGAGCATTTAATATGGGTTGTGAGTTTGACATAGTATTCTGTGTGATTAACATCTGGTTGAGTAGTTCTAGATCCTGGTATTTTTGGCTGAAGGTAATCTTATGTAGCGTTTTCAGTATCTAAGACTTATGTTACATAAAAGATAATCCATTATATTCATATACTGTTCACCTTAATAGTTTCAAATAAATTGAACATTAGGTAGAGAGTGGATAATAAATATCTTAAGTGCTCGGGCGCGAAACCAGTAGGTCCTGGGTTCGAATCTCGCAGGGGGCGAGGTCGTGGATGCGCACTGCTGAGGAGTCCCACAATAGGACGAAACGGCCGTCCAGTGCTTCCAGGTTTTCCATGGTGGTCTAGCTTCAACTGACTCATGATCTTAACCATTGAAATATCTTTTTGTTATATCTCAATCAGTAGAAAATTGAGCGTGTGTTAATTCGGTTATTTATTTACTCTGAGGAGGTGGCTTACATTAGGTCACAAAACGTCAGAAATCCAATTTTCTACTGATTAGGATACAACAAGAAATATTTATTATATGCTGTTTACACACATTAGTCTCTCATTTAACTGCAAATAGGTGATATGTCAGTGTTTGTAAATCCAAATAAGATTGTAGCAGCATACGCTTACACGATTTATCCTTAATTTTAGACAAGTGGATTTTAATTTTTCTCGGGATTTTACCATTTATGTACGACTTTGAGCATGTATGCATTATAATACGTATATGTCTATATGTTTACTCGAATCTGTAATGAATTTGGATGTTGAGTTACGTCTTAACTAGAGTAGGTCGAGAAGCCTGTCCCAATGCTGCACCTATTACACTATCTGTTTATGTACATGAATTCCTCAAACAAACTCTTCCGACTCAGTATTTGGCTTTTATTACCACCATTAACCAACGGGGTTAACTTGATTATTATATAAGGAATTAAATGGAAGATTTATATTTCTTGGTTTATTCACCGCCATTCTTAATGGAGTCAAATTACGGGCACACATAAACATTTGTACAAAGGGTCACCAAAATGTATGTAAAATTGTTATTTACCGTTTATTTTGAAGAGATGCTCATATAACTACATACATCTCACTGTGCTTTTGCTGTAAACTGATTGTTCAAACATAAAAGTACAGTAAAAACGCGAACTGATATACCGTACTTGTTCGTTATTCGATGCTCATGGTGTTAAACATCAATTTATTACAGAAGAACAGTGAATTACGCTTTCTATCTGGGGTTTTCATAGACGGATTGGGTAGCGTGCGACGTTGGTAAATGTCTTTTGCACCAAGTAAATATGTTTGTACAAAGACAGTCAATATCCTCTCGTTTTCGACTTATAGTTTGATCATTACTTTTGGTCACCATCCTTAAGCACCACCAAGCCTAGTTCCTTGCAATTTCTGTTTGTCCCCAAAAGGTAAATTGATACTTCCGATCAACTAACTCATTCTAAATATACTTACTCCCGTTACCCTTCGTGGAGGAGCATAAGCCGCCCGCCAGCATTCTCCATCTAACTCTGCCCTGAGCAATTCTTTCTAGTTGCTATTCATTATTTTGATGTCTGTTCCCGATTCCCAGCGCAGTGTGTTCTTTGGCCTTCTTCTTTTCTGTTCCCCTTCAGGATTTCAAGTTAGCGCTTACCTGGTGATGCAGTTTGATGATTCGCACAACGTATGTTCTATCCACTTTCAACGTTTTTTCCAAATTTCCTCTTCATCTGGAAGCATTTGGCTCCTATTCCGAGCCATGTCCTGTAACGTCTCAAGCCACTGAATCACACTACCTCTGGGATCTCCCAAACTAAGGAGTCTTGATGGACCGACAGATGACAGTCCTGGACACCTTTAATCCATACCATTACACTATGCCATAAACTGGTCACCTCTTCGCTCCCTCCACTGCGTCGCGGCGTCGAAAAATAGTGTCCGGCGTGGAGGTCACTAGAATAACGTTCGTAAGATATTCCCAAGTCATAAAGTCCGGTGTTCAAAGGTGATTACACCAACTAAGTTGTCGTCACTATACCCGACAGTTCACTCCCAAACCTAAGAATTACTAACGCAGTGTTGTCTCTTGATGTCGGGAATTCTTCGGATACAACGATGATCGAACATAAAGATCGCCGGGCATCTCAACTCAGGTTTCATAAATATGTTGTAGGACTGTTCTCACAGACTTGTAGACCTGAATTAGTACAACCAGACTAGCGTATCTACGGCGTCAAAGATGGAAGTAACTTCGTGGTTAGGTCAATCGACTTTCAACCACTAGGTTGCAGGTTCGAATCCCGCCCCATCTATTTTAGTTTGAGCGGCCGGATTGTATCATTATCCCTCGCATGTAAAAGGTGTCTCAAGGTAGAGGACCGGCTTAAATCGTGATTTTTTGACTCTACGAAAAGATTACACTCATCCCATAAATAAATCCCAAACTGTTTTTTAAAGTAAGTTTGCTACTAATATTGTTATTTCTATTCTATCTTGCTTTCGTTTATGTAGTTTTTAAATATTATTATCTTTCCCATCTACATTAGTTGATAAATTTAAAAATATGGTAATGATTATATATGTTGAACTTAATTTGATTATTAGCTTTGATTTGTTTTCTTTCTTTAGTGATACACCTCCATCGAAGACTTCACGGTTAACTTTACTGTATAATTATGAATTACGTGATCTGATCAAATTTTCTTTATTGTGTATATGTACTGTTATTTTAACAAAATATGACAGTTCCATGGCTTATCATGAAATAAGAACACAATCGGTGATAAAAATTTATATTTTTTTCAATTTACTCGAGGTGAGCGTATTCTGTATATATTTTGAAATTTAATTTTAATTTCAATGTAATATTTTCATTCATTGTATTAGGAGAAGATTAAATTTTCATCGTGATTAGTGTGGCTTTATGCGAAGCATTTGTTATGTTCTGTAGTCGTCTGACCTCGTTATATATATTATAGTCTTCCTATACATGAACCCAATTAATTACGTGGGTGAAAAAACCAAGTGATTAAAAAGCTTTTATTAGCTAAACCGGGTCGGAAATATATGCACAACTCATTCACAAATATAGATAAATTTCCCCCAGACAATTAGTCCATATTTTCAGCTAATAGTGCTTGTCTATTTCTTCAGGAAGTTCTGCTGAATCTTGACAAACAGAGTCCACCATTTAGCATATCTCACTTCTCTATCTCATTGGGTTAGTGTATCATCGTTTCTACCTGAGAAACCAGTTGCAAATCATACATGTCAGAAATGATTATCGACTAGATGTGTACTTTTATTTTTTACTCCCCTAACCTATCGCTAACACTAATAGATTCGGATTCGAAAAGCTCGATTGGCTTTTGCCAACTTACGCCACCTATGGCGAAGTCGAGATATCTATCTATCAATAAAATACGAGTATACTGTACGGCAGTTCTTTCTGTTCTACTTTACGGCTGCGAAACATGGCCGCTAAGAGTAGAAGACACTCGTAAGCTACTAGTATTTGACCACAGGTGCCTTAGAAATATCACTGGCGTCTGTTGGGATCACCGGGTAAGTAATAGTGAGGTTAGACGCAGGGTATTAGGAAATGATGGTAAATCAGTTGATGAGGTTGTGAATCTTCATCGACTGAGATGGTTGGGCCACGTGTTACGTATGCCTGAGCACCGATTGCCGCGACGTGCAATGCTAACCGGTGTCGGGGATGGTCGGAAGAAAGTTAGGGGCGGCCAAACCAAAACGTGGCATCAGTACTTGAAGTCACTAACTTCTAGTCTGAGCCATGTTGGTAGATGCAGACTACTTGGTTGGGGTCCGCTTGACTGTCGTAACCAATGGTTGGAGGCTCTTGGTGTCATGGCTCAGAATCGATCACAATGGCGTCGGTGTATACACTCCCTGTCTTCCCTTAAACTAAGAGATTAAAATCGCTTCATATCTTCCATTCTACGAACTAAATCTTTCTTCCTGTACTATATCCTTATATGCAATCTTTCTTTTATATATTTGTTGGGATACTCAGAAGAATATCCCAGAAACAATTATCCGGTTAAGTCTAATGCTACCCTTGAACGTTAAATGGTGTCATTTCCCTATTGGACGTTTCCCTACTGATCAATATTTATTTCGCGTGTCATTTTCCTATTGGTCAATATTATTTAACGTGTCATCTTTCTGTTGGTCAATATTTATAGTAATCCTAACTGTATAAATATGCATTTGTTTGTAAATCATTATTCTGCTGCTCCTGACCCCATAAACGATTTTCCATCTACGGTTCGTGTTCTGATATATTGGAGATTGGGAACAGTATTGGGGTCGAACTGGGATATCTGAAGCTTGTCAATTGGTAGAATTTAGAGTAGCCAACTCGCGATTCACAATAAATTTGGCGACGGAGATTTAGCAACAAGTTGGTGATTAACTATGGATCCAGCCAAATTAGAGAAATTGTTCGAACAGCAGCTGAAGCTGATGGAGATGCTTACTCAAACACACATATCTTCTCGAGTCCCAACTGCACCGACAATTCCTGAATCAGTTGATGGTATTACCAGTGGTATTTCAGAATTTCTTTATGATCCTGATGCCAACATTACATTTGATACCTGGTTCAGACGTTATGAAGACCTTTTCAAAGTTGACTTTGTTGACAGAGATGATTCGTGGAAGGTGCGTCTTCTTCTCCGTAAACTTGGTCCATCCGAGCTGGATAAGTATTGCAATTTCATTCTACCGCAGAACCCACGCGACCGTTCATTCGACGCCACTATTCAGTCCCTTAGCCAACTTTTTGGTGATCATCACTCACTCTTCAGTACCCGATATCGCTGCTTAAAACTGGTCATGAATGAATCTGATGACTTCTTGACCCACGTCGGCGTTGTTAACCGTGAGTGCGAACGGTTCAAGCTCAGATCCCTCACTGAAGACCAATTCAAGTCCCTAATACTCATATGCAGTCTTCAGTCACCCAAATTCTCCGACATCAGAACTCGGTTGCTCAACCGCCTTGAACAAGATCCAACACTGACACTTAATGCGATCATAGACGAATACCAGCGTATCATCAATCTGCAGCGTGACACCACTTTGGTTCAATCTGGGGGCCAGGGTGGTTCCGAAGTTCATGCTGTTCAGCACCAGAAAAAATCTTCGAGATCGACAAACTCGAGTCCTTCGAACGCCAGCGCTGTTTCTATCTCTAATCACTCTAAACCGGTTCAGAAGAAACCCCCCTCGCCATGTTGGCACTGTGGAGCCTGGCATTATGTGAAGTTCTGTCCATTCAAACAGCATGTGTGCGATCGCTGTCAAAAAGTTGGTCACAAGAGCGGCTTTTGCAAATCCAACCGATTCAATAACCGTCGAAATGCACAGACGCAGCGTCGTTCTCACAAAAAGCCGATTACCTCATCAAGGAGTTTAGCAGCAGTCTTCCATACTCATGCCGCGACTCGACGCAAATTTTTGACCCTCTCAATCAATGGTCAGCCTGTTCGTTTGCAGTTGGACACTGCATCAGATATCACCATTTTGTCGAAAAAGACTTGGCGAACCTTGGGTCAACCTCCCATCAAACCATCCTCTCAAACAGCCGTCAGTGCTTGTGGGGGTCATCTCCGCCTTCATGGTGAACTCTGTTGCTGTATTTCATTCAGAGGTACAACCTTCAATGGGACATGTTACATCACCGATTCTCCGCTCAACCTTTTAGGTTTAGATTGGTTCGAAGAACTTGGTCTCGCTGATCTTCCTATTAGCGCTGTCTGCAATCAAGTCCAAACTACTGCTTCTACACAACAGCATACTGAAGACCTTCGAAAACGATTTGTTGAATTATTTAAGCCTGGTCTCGGACTTTGTTCCACAACTGAAGCTGTTTTAAAACTGCAGTCAGAAGCTACGCCAGTTTTTCGCCCAAAGCGTCCAGTCCCATACGCATCTTTACCTCTGGTTGACGCTGAACTTCAACGTTTGGAAACTGAAGGTGTCCTAGTACCTGTTTCTTATTCATCATGGGCTGCGCCAATTGTGGTTGTAAAAAAATCCAATGGTTCCATACGCATCTGTGCAGACTTTTCTACAGGACTCAACGCGGCTCTACAACAGCATCACTATCCGCTGCCGATCCCAGATGATTTATTTACTATTTTAAATGGTGGTACCCATTTTGCTAAGCTGGATCTGGCAGATGCTTACCTTCAAATTCCAGTCGCTCTAGAATCCAGAGAGTTGTTGACAATCAACACTCACCGAGGACTTTTTCAGTATACCCGGTTACCCTTCGGTATCAAAACTGCTCCAGCGATCTTCCAGCAGATCATGGACACTATTCTGGCAGATGTTCCTGGTGTTGCTACATACCTTGACGACGTGCTCATTGTCGGCTCAACTGTTGATGAATTGCATACCAGAACCCACTTAGTTCTGCAACGCCTCCAGGATAATGGTTTTCGCCTTCGCCCAGAAAAATGCCAATTCTTCTTACGTTTCGTTAAGTACCTGGGGTTTATCTTTGATGCTTCCGGACGACACCCTGATCCTCAGAATACTTACGCAATCCAACAAATGCCTGCTCCCACTGATGTCTCCTCACTGCGATCATTTTTGGGGATGATTAGCTACTATTCAGCATTTCTTCCATCACTGCATGACGTACGATATCCATTAAATCGTCTGCTAGAAAAGAATGCTACTTGGAACTGGTCAACGCAATGTGAATCAGCTTTTTCAAAACTTAAAGCCATGCTAAGTTCCAATCTTCTGCTAACCCACTACAATCCGAAACTACCCATTGTGGTTGCTGCTGACGCTTCAATACATGGACTGGGTGCCGTAATCTCACATGTCTTTCCCGACGGGGCAGAGAAAGCGGTGATGCACGCTTCGAGAACACTAACACCTGCTGAGAAACGCTACGGCCAGATAGAGAAGGAAGCGTTAGCCCTAATTTTTGCTGTCCGGCGATTCCACAAATTCATTTATGGGCGCCGTTTCACCTTGCTCACAGACCACAAGCCGTTGTTATCAATCTTTGGATCAAAGAAAGGCATTCCTACCCATTCGGCTAATCGTCTTCAACGTTGGGCGTTGGCGTTATTGGGGTACGACTTCGACATCCAGTATCGACGTTCCGAAGATTTTGGTCAAGCGGATGCACTGTCCAGACTTATCAGTAACCATTCTACCACTGATGAGGACACACTCATAGCCATAGTATCAACCGAAGAGGATTCCGGTGCTACACTATTGGCGAATGCCGTTCGAGCAATGCCTGTTACCGCTGAAGATGTTCGGGAAGCTACCAGAGAAGACCCGATTATCCAAGAAGCGATCACCTATGTTCAGAGCAGATGGCCAGTTAAGCAGCTGAGTGGTGATATGCAACAATTAGCGAATCGTCGCAGCGCTCTCTGTATTGTTAACGATTGTCTGATGTTCGGTGATCGCGTAGTAATTCCAACAACCCTACGTTCCAAAGTCCTACGCCAATTCCACTCTGGACACCCAGGGATAAACCGTATGAAATCCATCGCTCGAAGCTATGCATATTGGCCAAATATGGACAAACAGATTGTCGACTTCGTCAAAAGATGTTCACATTGCCAAAAAGCTGCGAAAAATCCTCCCAAGTTGCCTCCAGTACCCTGGCCGAAGTCAGAAAAACCCTGGTCGCGAGTGCATATTGACTTCACCGGACCCCTAGATGGTACCACATATCTGATACTGGTTGACTCATACTCCAAATGGCCGGAGATATTGCCGATTGCGCCACCCTCTACAACTCGAACCATCAAACTCCTTAATCGGATCTTCGCTCAGCATGGTCTTCCAGAAACAATAGTAACAGACAATGGTTCACAATTTACATCTAGCCAATTCCGAGAATTTTGCCTGCAAAATTCGATCAACCATGTTCGTTCTCCGCCATACCACCCGCAATCTAATGGACAAGCTGAAAGGTTCGTTGATACATTTAAACGAGCCATGCTTAAAGCACGAGGGGAGGGGACCACAGAAGATATCATAGAACGATTTCTAGTTGCGTACCGGACGACCCCGCATGACTTACTGCCAAACTCCAAATCCCCTGCTGAGATGCTTATGGGGCGAAAGCTACGGACAGTTCATGGTGCGATGAAACCCAAGCAAGTGGCCCAGCAAAGCCCCCAGATGAAGAATACTCGAATTCCCTACGAAGTTGGTACAAAAGTGTATGCGCGAGATTATAGACATGGATATGATAAATGGGTAGAGGGTGAAATCACACAAAAACATGGGAACGTCATGTATGATGTCAAGGTGAACCAAGAAATCTGGACCAGGCACCACAATCAACTCAGGTCAAGGGAAGCGAAGGAGAAAGAAGCAATTACAAAACACGTCCCACTCGACTTGCTGTTGGACACGTTTCAACTTCCGCCAATACCTCCAACAGAGACGACTAAGTCATCTACTCAAGTAGAACATCCTTCTGGTTCTGTGTGGTTGCCTCGGAGGTCGAATCGCAAAAGAAGACACCCAAAGAAACTTCAAGTAAACCCTCGGTTACGTCGCTATTAACTTCTCCAAAGGGGAGGTGTTGGGATACTCAGAAGAATATCCCAGAAACAATTATCCGGTTAAGTCTAATGCTACCCTTGAACGTTAAATGGTGTCATTTCCCTATTGGACGTTTCCCTACTGATCAATATTTATTTCGCGTGTCATTTTCCTATTGGTCAATATTATTTAACGTGTCATCTTTCTGTTGGTCAATATTTATAGTAATCCTAACTGTATAAATATGCATTTGTTTGTAAATCATTATTCTGCTGCTCCTGACCCCATAAACGATTTTCCATCTACGGTTCGTGTTCTGATATATTGGAGATTGGGAACAGTATTGGGGTCGAACTGGGATATCTGAAGCTTGTCAATTGGTAGAATTTAGAGTAGCCAACTCGCGATTCACAATAATATTACCGTCACTGAATGAACTACTTTTATGAATCCGGTGTCCATCTTGTTGTGTTAATGAGGTATGGTAACTTGGACCGATGCATATATGTGCCTAGTCCTACGTTGTAGCTGACTGACTAATAGAATCACAGTATTATCCAAATTGTGTTGGATCATGTTAGAAGATTGTTTCAGCTGCTTCTGTACAGTTAGTCACCCAACTTATCATGTTCATAAATTTATACCTTAATAAAGATGAGTTTGGTATTTTTTGGTTTGACAGAGTTCACAAAACGTTTATCCTACTTTTAAAAAGCTGATCGTGTTATAGATTTGACATTTATAATATTCAAAATCACAGTCACAAAGGTTACTGACAAGCTTATTGAGACGGTTTGGGATCAGATAATGTGACATTTAAAAAAAATCTTATAATGGTTAATTAATTAATTTAGGGAATAGTCAACATTTATACAGGCTTATTATTTGTGTAGTTATTCACAGGATTTCATCTTGTTTTAGGTCGCAGATCGTTTATTATCTGCTGTTTGTCAAGATGCATTGGATGATTTACTATTTACGATCAGTAAACCACGATCTGATTCAGTTTTATCTCATGATCTAGAGGAAAATAGTTTCATTTTCTGGCGTGATATTGTTTTACAGTACTGCTTTGCCTTCTTTTGTCTCAGTAAGTCAGTGCAAATGCTTATTATATGTATTTAATTTTTACCGTATGGTTTTTACTACATGCTCTTGGTGTATGTCTTAAAATAGTGAATTAAATGAACCACTGAAAAGAGAATAAGACATGTACAGTGTGAATCAGATAATGGCATTTCGAATATGTTCGTTGTAAGTAAAAGTAACTTTATGACAAGTCAATCAAATTGTTTTGTTACAAATAGGCTCTACTAGGACGAGATACACTCACCAATTGTTTCTCTCCTGATTTATTTGACTTTTACAGATCAACAGACCTTTCACTAATATGTTGGAGCTTGTGAATTGTGTTAAGACAGGATTAATGTTAAATAATCGGTTTTTCTCTTCATTTAAGAAAATCACAAATTAAGAAATTGCAACCATGTAGTCCTTAACTAGTTAATGTTATTCTGTGATAATAATCATTTACAGTACGTTGCACTGAACAGTCTTCAGTCCTTTTCGACTTTTTTTACGTCACTTTAACTGTGGTAATTAGATTGTCCGACTTCCGGATGTAATGAAATTTTGTTTATTTAGAAACTGTCTACAACGAGTAGTTGGTCCAGTAGTAATTAGTGGGATATGTAACAATCAGTAGTTGTACAGCGTCATTTATGGCATAGGCGAGATATCTGTCTATCAACCAAGGGATGTGTTTACTGCGCAGTAGTTCATTCCATCCTACCTTACGGCAGTGAAACATAGCCGGTATGAGTAGAGGATATTCGTAGGTTACTAGTATTTGATCATAGGTGTCTTCGAAACATTGCTCGTATATCCTGGGACCATCGAGTAAGCAACGCAGTTGTTAGGAAATGGGTACTAGGTAAGGATGGCAAATCAATTGATGAAGTGGTGAAACTTCATCAGTTGAGATGACTGGGACACGTGTTACGTATGCCCAACCACCAACTGCCTCGATGTTCGATGCTTTATGGTGTAGGAGTAGGTTGGAAGAAAGCTAGGGGCGGCTATACTAAAACACAGCACAAGTTCATGAAGTCACTGACAAGTGGACTGAGTCATATTGGTAGGTGTAGACTACCTGGTTGGGGACCATGAGATGATAGCAACCGATGGTTAGAGACCTTAAATGACATGGCTCAAAATCGTTAGCAATGGCGCAGGTGCATCCACTATTTGTGTTCTCTCAAATTCTAATCTTCTGAATTCTTCATGTCTTTTATTTTCTTTGCAAATTTTTTTCACTGGTTTATACTCTCTAAATAACATCTCTAAACCCTAATCTTCCCGATTACAGCTTACACTCTCACTACATTTACCACTACGGAATTTGAGTCGACAACTGCATCTCTGTGCTAATGTGGTATGGCAACTTGAACTGATGTACCTACGTACGAAGTTCTACGTTGTTACTGAATGACAGCGTAAGTAGTACTCTGGAATAAGATCAACACGTGATAGCTAGGCTACACTAATAAACGGTAACTACAGGCAGTAGTAGTAGCACTCGGAAGTCAAAATATGACAGGTAATCTCGCAGTCTGTAACATTACACTCTTGCTCAGTCTTCGATGTGGAATATAGCGAATTGATGAGTTTGGTTCAGGTAAATGGCAGATAATGTATATGTTCTAACTATCATTGTTGAAGACCAAACCCTTAGCAGACCTGGCCGACGTAAATCACCTTATTTGCAAGAGAAATGTCACCTCCATTTTTCCTAGTGGTTATGAGAGTAAGTTGGTATATTGGTCAAATGAAATTACGTCAGGTTAATCCTCCATAATTTAACTGTGGTTGAATAAAATTGTGCTACATAACAGAAGTTTGGAGCAGCCCAGTCAGAAATATCATGAGTATTCTTTATTAACTTTTTGTAAACCTTACTTATTCTGGCGGTGCTTATACTATTGGTGTTGTTATTTTATTGTCCGCTATCAGGTCGGATATTTGGTTTTAGGATAATGAAAACCGTTAAAGTCATACTTATGGTTTGTCTGGCGTCTTCACTCGAGGCTAGGCTTTACTCACTCTTATGAACTCCAATCAATTTAGTTCAGTCACAACCTCCAACGTGTAATTAGTTTGTCAGTTTTTGAACGTATTATTTCAAAGTTCTGTCAAACAACACGGTTCTATTCAGTCATAGTTTATACATAGTTATGTAACTGTTCAACTCATCAATTATTGTGTTCTTTTTGAAGAAAACAGTTTCGCTAATCTTATGATGTTTCCTTCTGATTGTTTCAGTTATTCGTTCCGTATTCTTTTACATTGTTTCATTGTTTTCTCACCATCGAAATTACAGTAGCCCACTGCTTCCTTCTACTATGTCAAGTTACTACTTTAAATGTAGCATTCAATTCACAAAATAAATCACTGATCACTGTGTTTATTTCGAACAATGTGAGTTCCCAATATATTTTGCTGTTCTATTCTATTTAAATCATAGTTAAAATGGAAGGCTTATATATATCAGGCTTTACTCTAATATACAGTAATATTTATATACATATATGAAATTTCGATAATGATATTAGAAGACGAAGATTATCAGAACTATGTGATATATTAGCGCATAGTTCTGATAATCTTCGTCTTCTAATATCATTATCGAAATTTATCAAAGGGACTAATTGTTTTAAATATATGAAATTATTAAACCAATCAAGGTAGTTTATAAGTCAACGATAACAATGAAAACGATTACATAATAAGTGAAACGTGAAAAGTACAAATTGATGGTGTGACAACAGGTGCATTAGTGTTGATAAGAATAATAAAGGTTCAAACCAATGTTACATAATCGGAAATAGGTCAATGATTAGAAAAATATAGAAACTGAGATAACAGTTATAAAATTATAAGATGACGTAATAAGAAATATTCAGATAATTGGACCATGAAACGTATAGTTCAAAGAAAATAAAGTGGTAGGAGAGGGTTGATGAAAAATAATAAACGAAGAGAAAGTTAGAAAAAGAATAAATAAATTCATTTATTACTTAAGGCCAAGGGAGAGATAAGGTTGTTACAAATTTCTTCTGAACACAAAAACTTGGCTTGTTGGCTCGGATTCCTATAGCTTCTGCTATGTGTAAGAGACGAGATCGAACACCATTAGGAAAACTAGTGGGAATACGATAAATAACTTTGAACGACTTGTTTCTGTCCACTATATGACCGCTATCGATCAAGTGTGATAGAAAGTGTTACGTCAAAACAATACGCAGCTCGGTTCTATCACACTTTCTTAGGAGTGAGGCTATTATCATTAATATAATTAGATAATCATTTTAAGATTGATTTAATGTGGGTTTTCATGCCAAAACTTTTGAGTGGTTCTAAGGTGAATTAACTGTTTAGTGCTTCTTTTTTATAATTCTTCAGTTTACATTGATTGGTGACAAACAGTTATCTTCAAGCTAATTGATGCTTTTTTCAGATGAGAGGTTTGCGGAGATTGTCCATTTCAAAGTAGTATCCGTCACAGTCTAAGTTCATCTGGAGAAAAAATGGAAACTAGAGAACAGTGAACAACTTTTTTTTTATCGCTGTTTGAAAGTCCTCAAAAGATCGAAAACATGATATCCAGAACTCTATTGAGTACAGCACCTTTGAACCACTGAGCGAGTAACCAACGATCCACATTTATTTTTATAGAAGAAATTATGCATGAGATACTTTCCAGAGGGACTACAATGTTGATTGACTTAGTTAAATAATAAAGTACTGGGAAAGTTTTACTGAATTACCGGTTGTCTGTTTGTTCATTTTACTGTTGACCTTACTTATTTTGTTGTGGGAAAGAGATTAGTACTAAGAGATGATTAGGTGAAAGAAGCCTTAACATATAAATCTTGACTCTCTTCAGTTTTAAAGGTTTGTGGTTATGATTGTATTTAATAACTAAATCTTGTTGGTTTTCCTTTTATTTCGCATCAACCCCCTTTATAATATATAAATTTTGATGCTTTTTATTTGAATAGTTTGTTGAATTAAAAGGTAATGTATTTCGTAAAATGGGAAAAACAAATTTATTTCAAATTGCTTGTGCTGATGTGCGTGAACGATTTCACTATTGTGTTTGGTTTTCAATTATTGTATGCCGTAATATGAATGAAAGTGGATGGAATTTAGGTAAAAAATAAACCATATGATTAGTATTATTTATGTGTTATATATTCATGAATTATGAAAAGTTATTATTTTTTTTCAAGTTCATTTGTAAAGCAGATGATAATTGTACTTTAATTCCATGATTCAGTTATTCGAACACGACAATTGGTAAATTATATAATATATCTAGGTCTTAACTATATTATGTCACCATGGACTATTTTTATGACTTTAATACACTACATAATGTAATGTTATCAGTCTGAAGTGTAAATCGGCAGGAGAGCAGAGTGTATAGTGTTTTCGATAGTGTACTAGATTTTCAGAGAATGAAATGGTTCATTCTTTTCGAGTAGCTGAGATCAATGTTGTGTCACTTAGTTTATTGCATAAACACACTAAATTCGATCGTAAAGACTTCATTTTATCGAATTTATTATACACTAAGCTTATCCCCTTTAGTGTATAACCCATTTAGGCGGTGCATTTTTCCCGTTTCTGTTGTTTAAAACATTGTTGGAAGTTCCGACAAGTTTGAGTTTTCAGCTGCTTCCTTTTATCTAAACTCCAGACGATTCTTCTAAATTCATGTTTTCAGAATTCACATTTGGGAAGAACTAATAATTTCACATAAATCCAGTGTTTTCATCGACATATATCCTGGTTTTGCGATCTCGACGGCACCCACTAAAACGTTTGACCCCTATGAATTATTTTCAGTGTTTCATATCGGAAAATAGCCTTCAACATATCATGAGTTTCTTGTTAGTTCGGTTAGTACATTTATTGACCATAGTACTAGTATGCTAACATTAAAGATCTCCGAAAACACTGATTGTTACTATACTGTTGTCTCAGCAGAAAAAAGCCTATGCATATTCACTAATTTCTATTTGTGTTCAGTTTTCACCATTGCAATTGAAAAAGAAAAACAATTTCGTGAAGTAATTACATGGTGTTGTATATCAATTCTTTTATTCAGTGTCCAATTAGTCAATAATTGATTATACTAAACCTCAGCATACACTCATACATAGAAAAGATACTCTTACACATTATCTGTCAGTCAATCAGTCGGTCAGCTACAACGTGGAACCAGGCACATATATGCATCGGTCCAAGTTGCCACACGTCATTAACACAACAAGATGAATACCAAATTCATAGAAGTATTACTTCAATGGTAGTAATATGTTTAAAAAAAGATTCCGTATAAGAATGTGTTACAGGGAAAAATAATTAGTTCGTAGAAAGAAAGATATAAAGCAATTTTAATCTCACGGTTTTAGAGAAGACAAAGGGCGTATACACCTACGCTATTATAATGGATTCTGAGACATGTCACTCAGCATGTCTTCAACCATTGGTTACGATATTCAAACGGATCCCAACAATGTAGTCTACATCTACCAACATGGCTCAGACCAATAATTAGTGATTTATGGTCTGATGCCACATTATTCTGAGATAAACAGAAAGCATAAAATGCTAGTGTTAATTAAGAAATTAGTTCTCCTTATCGTTTATTATTATTATTTATACAGTGATTATTTCGTTGTATGAATTACATAGTTTGATTAATGACTTTCTATTGTTTGCTGATGAGAGTATTTGTTTTGTTTGTTTTTTTCTTTCTCTTAATTAATCGATTTTATTTCAAGGGTGTTTATTGAATTAGTTATTTACATATAGTTATGATGATATTTTCAATTTATTGATTTAAATAAGTAGACAAATTTACTAATCTCATGTTGTTAATGATTATAAACTGATTAGAAAAAAAAAGATTGATTGATGAACTCATTTAGTGATTAAATGTAGTATAAAACTATCTGAAGTAAATAAATAAATATTTCTTGGAATTGATGAATAGAAATATTTTTTTCTTAATAAGTTAATAATTATCATTATGTTGAATGATGTTTATTTCCTAGGGTATAGTTTCGAATTAAATTGTATATATTTCACATAATTGCATACATATGAATCAATGAAATAAACATTTAGCTCACAATTGTAAAGTTGTCTATTGGAATGTACTATATATTATTCAGTTTAGAAAGATCAGATTTATTGATAATTAAATAAATCTTATGTTGGGGATGTTAGATCCCCGGAACTAACTTGGTATATGCCTTAATTTTATTTTGGAAATTTAAATTTCCTTGTTTTCACGCCAAGAGTGCAGTTTTCACGTTCATGTCGTACTTCCCACTTGGGAGAATTTTTAACGCTATTAGTCCGTTGTGTATTTTTAGTATGCTATTTTTGCTACGCTTCCCAAGGACAGTTTTATGCTGTATATATACGTTTGATTTGTGTCTGTTATTATTCACTCATGCTTCTGGCTTACGGAATATACTTTCCCGTTCCAAGCTTGGACTTCTTCCTCTAGTTAGCGGGACTGGGACGCATCAAAGAGCTAGCTTATTGGTTTATGGTCACAAGTCTTTGTTCCGTTCGCATACTAAGTGAACTCGTAATAGCTTCAAACCTAGCACCGTAATTATCAATATCATTTTAATCATGGGGCCTACTGCTATAGTAGGATTTATGGCCTCGTGTATCCTGGTTATCTAACATAAAATAAACCTTTACTTGATAGTTTCGTTTTCTGAGCTGGGTTGTTCAACCGTAGAGCTTTCATTGTTTTTCTTAACGACATCATCAGCACAGAATTCAGGTAGAAGTAAGATATTCTAAATACTCCACAAGTAACTGACATTTTGTCCTGTCGATCTTGATTGACTACTGTTGACCTTATGCCTATTGTTGTGGACATATTTACTTCGATTGTCTCCCCTTCCGACCTGATTATTGATCCTATATTTGTCTATGATCTCCGTAATTGGTTAATAAATTGGGTCGACTTTATGTCTCATCAAAATCATGAGGCGATCAGCACTGGACGCCCATTCCGTCCCAGCATGGGACCCCCAGAAATGTACATCCACGACCCCGAATGCAGGGACCGAACCCAGGGCTTCCGGTCTCGCGCTCTAAATACTTACCTCTGGACCACTGAGTTGGCGTCCAACGATGTTCAACCGATCATCATACTACATAATCATCTCCCATTGTCTTCGTTGGGTAACTTCCCCACACACGACACAGGTAAAGTCCATCAGTCACTGATTCTCATCAGTTGCTTTTCTAAAAAAATTGATGAGTATACTCAGAATTTTTTTCTAATTTAGTCAAAGTTCTTGTTGAATTTAGCTTAGATTATTGTTTCACGCACCTGTTGTACTTCACGTAATCTATTGATATGTCGATGAAATATTCGTTCACGTCAACCTGGAATTCGCTTTTTTCTCTGTCTCGAATACAATTCAATCTTGTTCTAGTGATGGGGTCTTTTGTAGTACAGACACATATAATTAAGCTGTTATTATTATTATGTTGGACTAGTTCATATTCTCAAATTGTAGTGGATGAATTGTTTTTATTAATACACTGAGTAAGAATTTATTCTATTCCATTTTTTCTAAATAGATGATCTTCAAACAATTCTTATTGATGTAACCTATATTCTTCTAGCAGAAGTTGCTGTGGATTGGATAAAGCATTCGTTCATTACCAAATTTAATGTGATCCCTTCAAATGTGAGTTTCATTCTTTTAAATATTTTATCATAACGAAATTAGGTGAATTTTCAGATGCAATATGCTAGTTAATTAATAAAATCAGCTTAACTATACGGTATACTTAATGTAAGATAATTTTGATTTATTTTCCGATTGGTATGGTGATTATACTTATGACTTCGGAAACAAAAAAGTGACATTTCTACATAGTTTGCTTTGGTTCATTTAAACTGTGTAGCCAGTTCATTTGTCCATTCTATTATAAAGAAGGAACGAATTGAGCGAAGAAATTTCTTTTCAATTAGTTTTTCATCATGGCTCTACACTAATATATATACGTTTTACAATAATAATATAATACTCATCGAGTGGATACGTTACGTAATAATTACATAATGACATTTAAATTAACATTAATTAATTGGAAGAAAGAGGATTATTAATATTCAAAGTGATCAAGAAGTTGCTAAGTTGCGTAATGTAAGAAACAAAGAAGGAACAGAATTTTAGCGGATGGTCAATAGGATGGTAGTTACGTAAGAATCAAGAGATGAATGTTGAGAAGTTATAAGGCTCAAAAGTGATAGAAACAAAATTACAAAAATTTTAAAATAAATAAAATAAGTATGAAAAATAGTTCTTCTGACGGAAATGTTATACTGAAGGCCAAGGGAGAGAAAGTGGTTGTACGAATTTCTTTTGGATGCAAAGGTCAGGTTTGTGAAGATGGATTGCGATGGCTTCCGCAATGTGCAAAAGGCGCACTCGTAAACCATGTGGTAGATTTGATGGAATATTGTAGATAACCTTAAAAGCTTTATTCACTTCGACTTGATGACCTGTGTCAACCAAGTGAGAGAGAATAGAACTTTTAATCACTTTCACCTGTCCTTTGCTTAGCCATGTTGGATGATGTTCAGTAAAGCAAAGGACAGGTGAAAGTGATTAAAAGTTCTATTCTCTCTCACTTGGTTGACACAGGTCATCAAGTCGAAGTGAATAAAGCTTTTAAGGTTATCTACAATATTCCATCAAATCTACCACATGGTTTACGAGTGCGCCTTTTGCACATTGCGGAAGCCATCGCAATCCATCTTCACAAACCTGACCTTTGCATCCAAAAGAAATTCGTACAACCACTTTCTCTCCCTTGGCCTTCAGTATAACATTTCCGTCAGAAGAACTATTTTTCATACTTATTTTATTTATTTTAAAATTTTTGTAATTTTGTTTCTATCACTTTTGAGCCTTATAACTTCTCAACATTCATCTCTTGATTCTTACGTAACTACCATCCTATTGACCATCCGCTAAAATTCTGTTCCTTCTTTGTTTCTTACATTACGCAACTTAGCAACTTCTTGATCACTTTGAATATTAATAATCCTCTTTCTTCCAATTAATTAATGTTAATTTAAATGTCATTATGTAATTATTACGTAACGTATCCACTCGATGAGTATTATATTATTATTGTAAAACGTATATATATTAGTGTAGAGCCATGATGAAAAACTAATTGAAAAGAAATTTCTTCGCTCAATTCGTTCCTTCTTTATTTACCAAATGGCATAATGGGAATTTTCACTACATTCTATTATAACTCAACTTCATTCGATTCGTAAAGAAATGACTTCACCTGTTCATAAGATAAAGTGCAGTTAGTTAGATACCGACCATATTCTCACAATAGTTCCGAATAATATCTGTTATCTGAATTGAAACCAAAGCTAGTTTTGCAGTTGGTGCTCTTAATTGAGTCGGTAGAGAAACAAACAGCATCTCCTAAGTCCAGTTATTTAGTAACTCGGATTTTCTTTCAACTCTAGTCACCCTGTACGCTAAATCCGGTTTGTCTACTGAAGGTCTCCAAAATGTGATTACATCGAACTGAGTCCCAAATAGGACCAAATGAGCATCCTGAATTCCACTCTTAGTCACCATCCATCTCAGCTTAAATCGGCACGCAATGTTGGAAAACCATTTATTTTAACTGGGTCAAATGTTATGTATTTTCGTCAGCTTTCCTTAGGAAGCAAACTCCATCGATACATTTCTAGACTTTCGATTTTACTCTTATGAAATTCGTCATCATACCAACTGGGAATTATATTAAGCTTCTCTTGAAACAAATTTATTAGTTATCAGTTGTTAATTGTCAGTGTTATTATCGTTTTTATGATAGGTCTATGAGGAGTATACTGTGAGCATTGCATACGACCTATTATTATGCCATCAGGGGAAGGTTAGTAACGATTTTCTTCTCATGAAACTTAAACATTTTTTAGATTGTACTGATAACATGTCTGAATATTTTGAGCTGTTTGAAAATGCTGTAAACGTGTTTTTCCTCTCAGTGGTAAATCATGCTCACGGAGTTTATTTGGCAAGCTGACACTTTTCAAGAATGATAGACCTATAATGCTCAACTGACTTTTTTTAGTGACTGAATGAATATCAAAGGTATTCTTGTTATAACCAGCTAATGCTCATATGTCGTATCTAGGTTAGTTTTTAAAACTGTGACTTTCATTAATTTCTCGCCATTGGAAACCCACTATTCCAGTGGGTAACGATTTGGAATAATCGATTTAGAAGATTGTTCACGACCATTTGTATACCATGTGTTAGTAAACCACTTCATAAAAAAGTTTGAACTAACCTGTCTAGTTTACTGACGAATTTGTCAGTTTTAATATTCATAATGAAATCCACACCGGTTAAATGGTAACTAGTAAGTTAACAAGTCTATAAATCGAGTTATCCGTACTAGATAAAAAGGCCAGATTAATCCATGACGCTACAATCGTTCGACTGTGATTGTGCATGTCTAGTCATCATCTACCTTGATGTGAATTACTGACCAGAGAAATGTAAACCTGGGTGTCTCATGAAACATGGCAACAGTTATAAAGTCATTGAACTCTGGTTTGAGCCATGATGGTAGTTAGAAATATCTTGATTGAGGGTGGTAAAATCATCTGAATCAGTGAATAAAACGCACTGAGTGACTTTGATTGCAGCGACACAAATACATTCACTTTCTGTTTTCCCATAAATTTTGGTCTGTAGTGTGATAACTTTTGAACATTGGCGTTAAGTATTACTATTTCAGCTTATGGATGTCGTCGATATTGTGGTGTCCGTCCAACTACCTTATATAGCAAAATTGGTCAGTTTTGCCCTAAATATCTACAACAGGAAGATGCTAACCTCCAGCTTAGTTTCTGATTCGCGTGGGAGATTAAGTGGAAAACGTAAATAACGGGAGCTCTATGGTTTAAGCGTATATATCCCAGGACTTTATTTGGCACATTCCTGATTTATGCATAGCTAGATATTCTTTATTTTATTACTGAAACGATGTTTTGATTTTTTTTATATATCATTTATTTTTTAGAATACATCAGATTACTCTGACCTTCTCTCACGTCGTATGGGTCTTACACCGATCCCCCTTAGTTGTTTAATTAATGCTATGCTTTTTCAAACAATAAGAAATCCCAGCACTCTTTGCCTTACTTTACCGTTTGTTGTGTCTGTGTAAGTTATTGCTTTGAAATTTTCAGGAATAGGCGTTTTTCAAATGCTAGAGAAAAAAGATGCTTAATATTAAAGGCTATTGATGCCATTTTCTTTCTAATATTTCTTTTATGATTAGCTATATACATTTTTGTATTATTCCGTAGTGTCTACAACATATAGTTCCCTTTAGTAACTTGAAGAGAGCAAGAACAAAGATTTTAGTAGAATAACACGAATTCATTTTCGTCGATTGTTTACGACCTATAATGTCTAAAAATCAAAACTGCAAAATGAGATGAAGATACATCAAAGAATTTGATTGAAAGTTATTATGGACACATATCAGCAAAAATGCGAATTAATAAAATGTTACAAACGTATTTCCTATTCAGAACATTAGAAGTCAAGAAAAAGGTATACAAAGAAATGGTTACACAATAAAACAAATGTTAGTGATAAATAAGAAATACTTTAACTTATCAATAAAAAGACACTGCCTTATCTTCTCTGTAGTATAAATTTAATGTTTTTGTTTAGTTGACTATCTGTTTAGTACATGATAAATGAAAGGTATTATTTATTCCAATTTGTCTTCGAACCAATAATTGCAAGCTCTCAATCTAATGACAGACCTTTAAAATAAGTAGATATATGCTCATGCGAATAATATGTTCATGATATTTTTCGTTGTATAATGCGTTTTTTATCGTGTTACAACTACAACTCTACGAAAGGGGCCTATAAAGTTTCTATTTGTCCACATCATAATGTTGATATATATATAATATCACTAGAAGTGTGCAAAACACGAAGCTTTTTAGAAGATAATTGGGTAACGATCCTACACAACCACTCATTTGTTAGTTTTGTTATGATACCGCTATACTGATTATGCTCAGATCACGGTTACGTTTCCGAATAAAGAAACAGTCAAATTGTTAGTTATATTCATAAATTATAGTCGGTAAAAAGTGATTCGGAAAAACAGGTTTAGATGATAGTGAGTTTAGTGAAGCTGAGTTCTCTGAACTGGATGGTTTAAATGAATAAACCATTCACTTCAAAAGACAACTCCACTGAATCCATCCTCCTTAACCACAAATTTTCTTCAATGTGTCAAGATAATCAGTTTCCCGACCGTTGCTGCTACCTTGACGTATTGGTTGGGCTTGCCTATCGTAACGAACTAGTCGGGCTATACTGGCTGGAATAGTCGTTTCTTAAGGTCCTACCATACCAAGGTCGGTTAAAGAACTGTAAGACTAAAAGCAGCAAACACAAGGTCCGAGGGCGAAGTTGTACAGGGGTGTGACGGCAGTAAGGTATTTCTTTCAGACAGCCAGCATAACAGCGGTACTGCCTTCCCACAAAGGAAGGGTGCGGTTAGAGAAGATCGACCCTCAAAATACATACATAGCCTTATCCCATAGATTTCCTTCTCCGGTGGTAAGGTCTCAACAAGTAGGGAGCTAACACAAAAAGATCGTGTGACCGTCCTCAAGCAGTTGTCCCATGGGCATTGTGGTCACGCCCTCAGGTCACAATAAGACTAACTCTGACTCTGCTTCCCAAGTACCTCTAGAAGTACCGCGAATTGATAACCGCTCTCATACTTCTAACAGCACTCAAGATGACCGCATTCAAATCAGTTTCACTGCAGTCGGACACTCCTAACACATTATTAAGCATTTCCTTCATATCAACGGAAGAAAGCGTAACTAAGGGATCCATCTCGTTTGAAGTGTGGGGGTCTGTGTAACTGTTTAGTCAACTTAATAAGTATTGGTTATCAATGATTTTAAATAGATACTTTATTTTTTTTAGACTATTTGCAGTTAAAGTTGCAACTAACCTTACCCTTATGTCCATGGCTTATTCTCATGTACGTGAGTACATAAATGCAGCAAGTACTGTTCGACAGGATGAAAATTGTTCTTTCGACAATGATAAAACTGGTGGTGTTTTCACAACTACAGTAAAAGGGAATATGAAACAGTCTCAACATATTCTTTCAGAAAAGGAAATTCGGATATCATCAAGAAAGCCTCCTTTTGGTTTCACAGGTTATGACCAACCGACTAAAGATGAAGATTGCTTTTTGCCGACGGGTCTTAGGTATCGGAAATTCAAAAGCGACTCAGGTCCCGTAGATATAACAGTTAATATGGACATAAATCACTCACTAACTCCTGAAGATACATCAGAACTCGCTGGAAATAAGCTTAGAGTGTTAAGTCCGATTTCCACGGGTAGCATTTGGAATGAATTGATTGAACCATATCAATCAATTATGGCCTCTGCAACCGGAACACCGAAGAGTCTATATGAACTTAGTGAATCAGCCCCATTAAGTAAGTGACTTCCCATTTGACTGCTAGTTAAGTTACATGAAAGTCGCACAATCTGCTCTTTTTCGACTAATGTGTCATCTTTCTATTTCATTTTAGCACCTCTTAGTCGAATAGGGTCAGCAAATCGGATATTCAATCCTGGGAATAATAAGTCAGAAATCGAGTGCGAACGTGGTTTCCATGGTTCATGCGTGTTCCAGACTGAAGATAAACCTCAGTTTACTGCTTACACAAATACTCCAATTGCTACATTACATAATGAGGGACTACATGTACGCAACAGGTATGAGATGACTAGTATCTTAGAATTATATAGCAATAAAGACGAATCATTTACAACAATGGTACGGCCTCCTAGTGCTTGTGTTTTATTAAGACCAAGGTATTACAGTATCGATCTAGGTATTCTGAGTACTTTTTTAAATTCTATGGAACGCAATGTACGTGCTACAGATGAAACACCTATTAAAGATGGAAGTGCTCAGGAAAATGAATCAAAGCCTACCTATACTTTCAATCCTATACACAAACGCCGGATACGTACAATGACTGAAAGTTCAGGCACTGCCCCTTCACATCCTCCAAGGGACCCTACAATACCAATTCTATGGGAACGAAGCAGTAGAAATAGTACGGCCAACCAGTTCGGTTTGGATCGACTGAAACCAATAACACCTGGACGAGTAAAGCAGCCATTGTCTGATATTGATCGTTATTCAATGGTAGAAGGACAAATTAGTTGACTCAACTTGTGTAATTTAATGACTGTACATTTCTTGTATGTATATTCCAAAATAACAAAATGTTTTAATCACAGTCTTTTAGAAACCCTAAATCTGATGTAACAACTAATATAAAATAGTGGAACATAGTGATTACGAAAAAAACTGGTTGGTAGTGCTAAATACATCCCATTCACTCACTCAAAAACTTAATAAAGCGAAGTTAAAGTATATTGTGTTCGATTTCACAACTTAACCAATCAAATATTCTTGACCTAAAAGCATACTTTTAGAATATACTGTTGAACAGAATGATATTTGTAATTAGAATGTGGTATAGAAATACACATCTAAAGTTCTTAATATAAGTTAGTGTCATTTTAACCACTGAATTTACATTCATCACGGATACGTCTTCTCATTACAGTGAAACACTTCGAGGTTCAACTTTTTTGACTACTAAATACGATTTTTTCCTCTTCTTTAGTTCTCAGTTAATTTAAAGTTCGAATCCTAATCATACACTTAGAGGTACAGGACTAACATAAGAGAGGACCGGATTAATAAGGCAAAACTTCTTTAACTGCAGCAAAACCGAAGAGTGTGTGAAATGAGTAGGTTTGGCGGAAAATGGGATTTCAGAGCCGGGGAAATGAAAAAAAAGTAATCAATGCAAGTAGATTACATTACCCACCCCCGGTCGAGAAAGGCATTTAGCAGATAAATTTAAGGTCAAGTATGAAAGGGAGTAGTTTTTTCTGTCAAATACAAAACGTTGATGATTGTTCAGAAATATAGTTGAAAATGTTCAATAGTCAGTCATATGTAGAACTACGCGATATACATGAGTTACTAACAAAAACGACACTTGTTTCACATTCCTGAACATTTGAAATGGTCATGAAAGTTTCGAATTTGTTCGGATGGTTCCCAGTTCATTAAAGTCATCAAGGAGCTCTCCAAATGGTAATTGATTTCCTGACGTTGATGTCTTTTCGTTTGTGCTTGACTATAGAAATACAAAATTTTTAAAATGAAAATGGGATTTTTAGTAGATTCTGATAAACTAATATATTACACAACACATTATGCTTCTTTCACCATCATATTCTCTTCGCTACTTATGATATGTACAGAAACTGCTGCTAGATAACGGTTTAAGGGATTGCAACATTGAACTGAATGCTAAAAGTGCATGAGCCTAGTGTTTGTTTCGTTATTTGTCTCGACTAATGGAAAGATACTTCTACATCAGTGTATGTGACCGAGCAGCGTACCGGGAAGACGCTTATAGTACTAAACATGTGTTTAAAATGTAGAAACAAAACCCTAACTAATAAAAACATTTTCCATATCTGATTGCATTACTAGAAGTGGGAACAAATTACTCTAACTATTGGGCTTGTTGCATATACAGCCTTTTATTCGTAGTTCTCGACTACAAACTATGTACAGAAGTAACAACGACAGGCTGAACTTACTTTATTCTTTCGGTTCGGAAACTCCGTCTCAAAAAATACTCTGCTTTGGTTACTTTCAGAATAATTAATCAAACAGAGGAAGTTTGTTAGTGATAGAATCAATACATCCATCCATGACTTTGTAAAATACATAAAAAACTCTGAGTGCATTTTTGGATCCGCTGCGTAAGGCAAAGCTGTGTGTAGATTAATCAACGTAATAATAAAACATTACCACACCAACTTTGCCATTCCTCTTTTCCAAAGGAGAACTGCGAAGAAAGTAATTCGAAAAACTCAGTCATTTTAGCTTGACGTTTCTTTATTTTAGCCTGCACTAAGTATGTACGAAAAACATGCACTTTGAGCTCATTGGCAGCAAGTTGTTTATCACCCGATAACCGGTGAAATAGTGTATTTTCTAAGAAATTCCACTGATTGGTTAACTGAGATAAATTAGAATCGTAGATCGCTTCTTGAAGTTGATCGATAATATCCAATGGCTGAAACTGGATACGCCATTATTAACCAAAGCGAATTACTTTCCCTCTATTTTTTTCTTTCGAATACTCGATTTCGAATGCATTCAGTGTATCTTTGAAATTCTTCGACAATAAGTAGCGTCGAACAAAACGCTCACAAACACCATCTTGCATCCTTACTCTGCTAAAGGAACCAAGGTACTACATTAATGCAACTATTAACTAATTAATAAAATGAGATAAGTAGCATATGAGAAAGTTACGAGTTACTAGTACTCCGAATATCTTTGATATCATAACCACATAAGGACGTTTGCCTACCTTTTCAATCCTAATGTGACAATATTCCTTGACTTCTGATTTGCGCATATCGCTTAATAAAATGAAATCAGTAAATTAGACCATTCCAAGTGTACTTTCTGAAGAATAACTGAGCGGACTGTATCCTATTATTATTATTACACTGAAGCTAGATAACGGTATTATTAATCCTAGTGCATTTTACAAGTGTTCTGCAGAAAACCAACGCGACAGCAGTTTATTGTTGCTAAAGTGATTTGGAGTATGCCAATGATATTATATTGATGTGTGATGATACTCTAGACACAAAAATCGCAATTAATTTGGAATTGGTGTCCATAAGTATGTACTATATACTTTCTAAATCCAACTAACAGGAACCCATGCCTGCTCTCAGTTTTGGTGGTGAGACGTTAGCAGTCGGAAGGTTTGTTTGTCTAGGTAGCTGTGAGTGCAGGTGATACTGTTAGATGAAATCAATCTATGTGTAGTGGATAGAGCGGCTTTCGCCACTCGTGCTGTCGTGATGTTAGTTTACCTACAAGAAGTTGGGTCTACAACCCATTGGTGAGAGCAGTTCGACTCTGTTCTTGCGATATCCGACCTTTCGAACTTGAGGATGTTAGATGATTCATTGCTATTCCAGGAGGGTTGTTGATATTTAGCAACAACATCATGTTAATAATGAGGTGATTCCGAAATGCGTGTTCTGGCACACAGACGATCACCATGAGGAACCGGGTGCGGAGGCCTAGACACAAGTAGGAATGTCGTCACAGAGAATTTCACTCCGTCCGTTGCTTAACGCTACAACTGAGTGGAGAGGTGGCCACTCTATAATATGGTACCATGGTATGAAAGAATGTAGAGAACTGGGATCTATCTGTCAATCACAACTCCCTATTCAGTGTTCCAGCGATAGTGCAACTAAGTGGCCTGAGATATCAGACTACCTAGGACAGAAGACAATAGCGTTCTCGCTGTAGTTTTCTACTACATTCTTCGGCTGGAAAATGCTCTCGGGACTCTCGTACTACAAGTTACACTGGTCCACTTATTCATTTTGATTACACTCAGGCTCCATGCACGTCTTCACAATACTAGTTTTCTGTGGCGCATACTTATTTTAGAGCCCAGTTATATCGGTATTTATTTTAAATAGATAATTAAGATAGTAGGATGCATATGTGCTTCATAATCTAACCAAGGAAATACCATTTACATTGTAAAGATGATATTTTTCTCCTGCTCAGCGATTTAGATGATTACAGTCTACTCTACGTTATTTAACATACAAACTAACCACTTATCATTGACCAACACCAGTTGGTACGGGTTAGTCGATTAAAAAGGTATGGTGTTAGTTGAAAGCGGCATTCGAAGAAGTAACAGCTTCTATCCCATGGTCAACTTAATGTAAGCTATCCCAAGGGCCTCTAAAGAACCATTAGATATGAACGATAGTAAAGCGTGAGACATATTTCTAGGACTTGATTTTTATGACCACTCATGAAGCATTGAAGCTTTAGTACCAAAAAGTCAGGAATGCACGTAAATTGACCATTATAAAGACTCACGTTGATTACTAAGTGAAGTAAGCTTATGATAAACACCTGTTCGAAATAACTTCGCTAGTGTGATGTTAGAACTCATACATATGGTTTCGATTACCTTGAGTTCTAATAAATTAGAAGGCTGAAATTGTTGGTCTGGAAATTATGTTTAGTGACAGTTGGATTGGTCACGCTCACCATCGACGGCACTCCAACAGTGGAACACTACTTCCGTAAACAAGAAATCCGAAGATTGACGATTGTATACTAACAGTTTTGAATAGTACTGTGGGCATGAAGACCGTGTTACCGGAGATTTTGAGCCGCTAGCTGAAAACAAAGATTTCTCCCTATCTTATGTTTTTAACATTTGACACGAAATAGTGGGGATGCTAAGTTGATATGCCAATTTAATCGCTTATGACGACCGAATAAGACGCGTAAAACATTCCCCTTAGTTTATGGAATAATGAGACTTTATTTCGTAGTTCCTTATAAAGAGAGGGGAGCTTAGTGTAAGCAGGCTCAATCTTTTTGTAGCTTTTTGACACCACGTTGAGAAATGGGTTGGAAACTGGTTTCCAACCCACTCAACGACTAATGGTCGAATAAACCTAGAGCGCAACACCGTCTCTCATGGATGTTTACAAACCGGAACTACGACCCAAGAAAATGGTGCCAGTCACGTCGATGGACACTGAATAGATAAACACAGGTCAGTTGACCTAATACTCTTATTACTAAGGGTCCGTAAATTTGAAAACATTTTAGTTTAACTAAATGGTGAGTGTGTCTGAAACCATAGGGATACAGACATACCTTAGGACGAAAACATCCTGTCTGGCGTCGATCACTAATACTGAACCGTAACGCGATATTTAAAAATATGCACAGATGTTTCAAATTGTTCTAGACGTAAAAGAATGGTTCAGATGGTTGTGGACGGAATAGAAGAAGCCTTCGCTTAACAGGCCTTCGTGTCTTGTAGCAGGGGATCAGGAATAACTCCAGGCAAGAACCTAGGTATGTTAACGATAAAAGAGGAAAAAGATTCTGGTAAATCACAGTGTGATACTATCCTTATACCTTAAGAATAGATCAAAGTTATTATAGACAATCAAATTGGTTTCAGTAGATATTCAACACTATGACTCTAACTTTCGAAGACTGTTCGGAAGATGGAACCCTTTATTTAGGTAAGCCATGTCTCGGTAAGGAACTTTTTCATTGGTCTGACACTTAAAGTAAGTTAGCTCCAGCTTAACGTTTACAAATTCCTCGGTCAACCACGTCATAAGTTCGAAAAACACTGGCGAAATAATATTGAGCAACCGAATATGGAAGTTTATCGGATGAGTTTATTTTAACCACATTTCAGCAACCTGCCGGATTTGTATAGAGAATGAGAGTAAGGTTATTGAAAAAATTGTCTAGAAGATTCTCAACCAGCCATATAAAATAGTGAAAAAGTTGAAAAACGTAAAATCGTTTTGAAAAATTGATAAACGTACTCAAGCCTGCATGCAAATAAGACTACTACAGTACTGTCTATTAGCACTTTAGGGTAGAAACGAGACTTCTGAAAATTGCTAACAGTAAGATGTGCACATGCTTTGTAAACAGGAAGTTTAGTACTAGCATGACTTCATTTCACAAACGTGTACTGTGTTCTTACATAACAAAAGTACCGTTCTGATCATACGAATCTGTCCTGTGCTTAAAGTTCGTTCTTATCCGCGTCGTCACTTAACTGAGGTTTTGCCTCAGCTTAATAATTGGTCCTTGTATTTTTCTACTTCGAGGCTAGTTACAGTATTTCCTAATACTTCTTGCCATACGTTTTTATCTCTTTCATACGTTTTGAGCATATTGATTTCTGTTCTACTGTCGTAAACGTTTGCTAGGATCTATCTAACGAATGATATTTAACCGTAGTTATGAGGAGCTTACGTAAAGGGCCTAGATGCCGTTATACTTTTGCTTGTAGTATGCAGTGTGACAAGTGCAAGGGTTGATTTCACAAATATTGAACAAACCATACAGTAGCTACTTGCAACAGACTGCAGGTATATATGCGGCGCGTGCAACCTGATTGCTGAAGATTTACCGAACAACCTAATTGTTCTACCGATAGGTCTGAGAGAAAATTTGTCATCGATCCTGAAGAAATGACAGTCTTGAAGCCTATAAGCAAACGAAAACGCTCATCAAAGTGAAGAAGAGACTCTTTGACAACCTTAGTAGCGATGTGACACGCATCGATACTAGTGAGGACGTGCTGAGCCCAGGCATCGTCATAACATCAATGGTACTAGATGCCATTAGCAAACTTGCATCCCTCAGTACAAGCTCCCTAGGTGTAACCATAGTCCCTAAAACTTCCGCGGGCTACTGGGCCCCCATCAACAAGGTTAAGAATGACCGTGTGCTACCGTCGAAAATGCCGTACAAATTCTTTGACTGTAGTAGCAACCTGTCAGAACTCAACCCCAGGTGAGAGGAAATTTATTGCCCTTAATATTAATAGACATACGTTTAGATTGCAAATAGATACTGCATCTGATGTGAAAATTCTCTCGCGGAAATCTTGGATCAGAATGGGCAGACCACTCGCGGTGTCAGCAACAAAAAACTTCGTACTGCATGTGGTAATCACCGTCTGTTGGGACTACTAGATTGCACGATTCGACGTCTACCGTGGTACATTATATAACGCCAGCTGATCTACATTTACTTGGTTTAGATTGGTGTGATCAGCTAAAATTAGCTGATGTCCCTTTAAGTGTCATACGCCACCTGGTATCACATCATGATATCCTTGAAGCATATACAAGGAAGCTAGTGACTCAGTTCTCGTCTATTTTCCAATCTCGATTGGGTAGGTGTTCTGCCTTGAAAGCAACGCTTCGGTTGAAAACTGTGGCTAAGCCTGTTTTCCGCCCAAAGGATGCGTGCCTTACGCAACATTACCAACAGTAGATGAGGAATTGAATCGCCTTCAACAACAAGGAGTTATAACGCCCCTTTTTTTCTTTGCTTGGTCAGCACCTATAGTTGTTATCAGAAAGGCCAACGGCACGATACGTATATGCGTCGACTTTTCTATAGGTCTCAGTGCAGCTCTGGAACAGCATCATTATCCTTTGCCAGTTCCCGCAGATCTGTTTACTGTGCTGAATGGGGGGAAGTTTTTCACAAAACTGGATCTAGCTGATGCTTACTTGCAGGTGGAAGTAGGTGACTTATCAAGACAGCTGCTTACTATCAATACTCATTGTGGCTTGCTTCAGTATAACCGTCTGCCTTTTGGAGTTAAGACTGTTCCATCTATCTTCCAGCGGCTGATGGACACCATCCTATCAGGTATCTTGGAAGTACCGGTTTATCTCGACGACATCTTGATTGTTGCGACGACATTATAACAGCTACAGGAACGCACGACATTATTACTGCAACGTATCAATGAAAACGGCTTCCGGTTACACCCAGAGAAGTGTCAGCTTTTATTGAAGCCAGTAAAGTATTTAAGTTCAATTTTTCGCTGAAGGCCGCAGAACGGATCCTGAGAACATTCTTGCTATCAAACTGATGCCCACCGCAACTGTGTCGGCACTATGTTCCTTCATGGGACTTTTTACCCATTATGCAGCGTTCGTTCCTTTGATGCATGATATTTGCGTTCCATTGAATCGTCGTCTAAGGAAGAACAGCACTTGGAACTGGACCCAAGAGTGTGATGTGGCGTTTTGTAAACTCAAGTTCATAATTAGCTTGGATTTGTTATCAATGCACTATGATCCATCTATGCCGATCATCCTAGCTACAGACGCTTCAGCGTGTGGCCTAGTTGCTGTTATTTAATATCAGTTTTCAGACGCTTCGGAAAAGGCTGTTATGCATGCATTCCGTACACTAACTTCGGCAGGAAAGAAATACAGTCAGATAGAAAAGGAGGCTCTTGCACTTGTGTTTGCTAACCGACGTTTCCGCAAGTTTCTGTACGACAGGAAATTTACACTTCTCACGGACCACAAGCCTCTGCTCGCAATATTTGATCAAAATCTGACGTTCCAACCCATCCTGCAGATCGTCTTCAGCGACGGGCCTTGGTACTCTTGGGGTATGATTTCGAGATCCAAAACCGATGCACTCAACAATTCGGTCAGGCAGGTGCTTGGCCATGACTCATTAATGGTCATTTGGTGGCTGAGGAAAGCACGGTAATCGCATCTCTGTCAGCGGGAGATCACGCGGAATTTTATCTGACAACCGCAATAGGGCATTGCCGGTGTCTGCAGCAGACATACAAAACGCTTACACGAAAGACCCCATCGCCAAGATGGAGATGAGCCATGTCACCAACGGTTGGCAGTTTAAGAAGTTTGGCGGTGATATGAAACAGCTGTATCAGTGGCGGGACTCACTATGCATTGCAAACGGCTGTTTGATGTTTGGAGAAAGAGTGGTTGTGCCGGAGCCACTTCGCTCAAAAGTGCTGAAACAGTTCCACCTTGGTCATTCGGGGGTTAGACGGATGAAATCCATAGCCAGGAGTTGTGCATGCTGGCCCCTACGAATCATTGTGTCACTGAGTTGGTACCAGCAAGCGGCAAAGGTGAATGCCAAAGTCTCTCCACTTTCATGGCCACAACCTGGTCATCCTTGGTTCAGGATACCCGTCGACCTCGCGGGCCCAGTAAATGGAACTATGTATTAAAATGTGGTCAATGCCTTTTCAAAATGACCAGGAATCAGTCTTATAATGCCGCCAACGATAACTAAAAGAATATAGGTCCTCACTTAAATTTTCTCAAGAAATGGCATACCAAGTGTGATTGCATCTGACAACGGGTCGCAATTTACCTCTAGCCAATTCCAAGCTAACTGTCAACAGCTAGCCATCAAGCACTTACGTTTGCTACCACGTCTCCCGCAGTCGAATGAGCCTCAGACCGCTCACCGACAGAAGTAAATCTTCCCATTGACATCCTGCTTAATGCCTTCAAATTACCAGCATATCCACCACGAGGAAAAGCTCAAGAACAAG